GAATACAGAAAACAGGAAAAAAAACTGTTACTTGAATTTAGGATCTTTGTTTTTACATGTCAGGTGTAAATCGACAAGTAAATTTCACAAGAAGCCGGTATGATGATGAAGGAGAAGACAAAAATCTCCTCGCAGTGAAGGCCTATAAATGTAACGCATGTAACCTGACACGCCGAAAGAGAGAGAGAGAAAAAAAATCACAACGAAATCTATGTATGGTTCCTTCATGTTTGAAGTTTTGAAGAAAAAGAAAACTAGTATTTAAGTTTTTTTATACTGTACTGTTTATTATCAGTCTCTGCTCATTATTATAATGTAAATCTGTAATTTTTTTTTTATATATAAAAATGTAAAGTAAATATCAAATAGTATTTTTTCTTCTTTCACTTTGTTGCTTGCTGTATATTGCAGTTTAAATGATATCCTAGATAGCCATATCTCTCCCAAGGCAGACAAAACTTTTGAAAGCAGTAGATGAACTCTCCACCTTCCTTGTTATTCTTAACAAGTGGCATCATATATAGATTTCAGCGTGATGTACATGTATATAACCTTAGCCTCGCTGAGATCACTGATTCAGGTTCCCGCATGTGCAACCCCATGTCTCTTAATACCGTGGCTGATTGGGGTCATCAATTATCATTATGTAGATTATTTTGATGAATAAATGTTATTTTCTAAAATGATATGTCTGTTTTTGTTATTCCTGTTGGCTTTTTTTTTTTTTTTTTTTTTTTTAATAATGTGGAGCACAGTATTTCAAAGGTTTGATGAAATGTCAATTTGCATGATTAGACAACAATAAGGATCCAAAGTTTTATGCAAGATGGGTTAAATATCCATCAGTTATGAGCAAACAAAAAATATCATGCTTCATTTTTTTTTTTTTTTCTATCTTCTATAACTTCCAATTCCTCTTTTAATGATTTCAAGAACCTAACTCAATTTCAATAGTCCAAAGTCCAATAGTCACGGGTATCACCACCATGGGTGTTCATTACTGAGTTCCTCCACACCTGTCCATTTATTAACCAATTTTAGAAATTCAGGAGTCACCATCTTCGACTTTGTATTCTTAACTTAGGGGGGCCTGTTTGGGTGAATCCGTTCAGTCGATTCATGCTTTGCTGTGAGGATGTTAAAGTTACAGAAAGCTTTACATGCATTGGTAGTGTAGTTCATGTCTCTGTCAGAGCAAGAAGTCAGGAGATGGATTGGTCTGGCAGCAGGAGTCATGAACTCCATCAACAAGAGCATTTGGAGAAGTACTTAGGCAGAAGGACCAAACTACGTGTCTTTAAGGCCTTAATACTACCAGTTTTGCTGAATGGAAGCGAAACCTGGACATTATCTAGTGCAGATCCAGGAGGCCTCAAGATGCAAGGAAATAGGCATCAAGAGTCGCCACCAGTCACTCTAG